ATAGGTGACTAAGACAGCCCTTCGAACAAGCATTGTGTAGAATAACCAACAAATAATATTAAATTAGTAGAATAGTATCGTAAACACCCACTACGTTTAATTTAGTACAAGGTCTTAATCAAAATAATTTGGTTTATATTGAATCATTACATGCTTCATAAGCACACAAAACCAGCGAATGCACAATATATATATATATATAACTAAAAGTTGGTTATGACTTTCAACTGAAATTTCAATGCAGCTACAGTATCTGAAGCACTACACTGTTGTTAACTACATCATTAGGAATAATGGTCGAATTAAGAAAATAATTAGAGGGCTATTTTAAGTCTGTTAGGCGTCGCAGTTTCCAAAGAAGCACCGATCCAAAAAATTAACTCGGTGAAGACTGTCTACATTCATAAAGTGTCGAGTACGGTATGTTGAAACGAAGCGAGCCTTAATGCTGTATAATTTTGTATAAACAACACTAAATATATAACATGAATCGAAGTTATTTTTAGTATTTTAATGGCAATGCTGAACCTTAAAACGTAAACTTGAGCTCCAGTAACTGTAGTAATCATTCTGTTGTACCCTTAACATTCAAGATAATCTATTTTTCGTCAGTAATTACCCTATTTTATGTCTGGAAGCACTTATAACTGTTTCACTGGTATTGATCGAATACTATACTTACAGGTAAAGCTAGAACAACTACGTATGTTATAATGTTTACTTAAGAGCGCACCGAGTGTAAAGTTTAAAGAAGTATAAATTTATAGAAAGATACGATATTTTCCTTAATTTATAAATTACGTTTTAAAACGAAGTACACACTGGCGTGTTTCTATTTTCTTAATTCTCATTTAAAAAGCCTTACAAAATCATCTGTTAAGCAATATACAAAATATAAAAAAAAAACGAATATTAATAAACTAAAATTGTTAGTGGTGTATTATTTAAATATTTAAAAATTTAAACATACATGATCAGAATATGTTTCTTAAAAATATCTTGCTGATACTGAATTAAAACTGTGTCGATACTAATTATGTTCACAAATAGATATATTTAATACAGAAAATAAACAGCATTTGCCATTAGAAAGCAGTGTGATGTTCATGAAACAAAATCATGTTAATAATAGTAATAACACTAGTACACGTCTTGTAGCTTGTCAATCATGCGATAGATCACAAACAGTTATATGAAAACTGTCATTAAAATATCAATAGTATTTTAACAACCGTAATAGATATTAGAACGTAGACAATATTATAAAAATTATAATATTAGAACACTGACAGTATCTTAAAAGCTGTAACACTAAAACACGGACAGTGTTTTAGAAGCTGTAATAAAATAACACAGACAGTATCTTCACATCTACCTCGCTAGAAAAAAAACGGTATTTTTACTATGCGCTAGAATACAGTCGGTTAGTTCCCACATATGCCACTACATACAACTGTTAGTTATCATATATACCGTTAGAAGACAGTTACCAGATATGCCACTCGAAGATGGTTAATTACCAAATATTCCATTAGAACACAGTTAGTTACCAGATATGCCACTCGAAGATGGTTAATTACCAAATAT